TTGAATGGGCTTCCGGAAGCTCGCTGGCTTCTTCGGGAAATCCCTAGGGACCGTTTTAAAGCCACTTGAGCGTCTGCCAGCCTGGCCTCAAAAGTGACTTGCTAGCAACTGGCCTGCAGCACGAGGGAGCCCGGGCTCTGGCCAGCGCTGCGGAGCCTTCCGGGCCTGGGCTCCATAGTGGCCCCTGCTGGGCAGGGCCATTGAATGGGCTTCCGGAAGCTCGCTGGCTTCTTCGGGAAATCCCTAGGGACCGTTTTAAAGCCACTTGAGCGTCTGCCAGCCTGGCCTCAAAAGTGACTTGCTAGCAACTGGCCTGGTAGGTGCACAGCCCCGGCGGCGAAAGCCAGCTCCCTGGCGATTGAAAGAGCTGGTTGCAATAGCACAGTTCCTGTAAGACACTGTAAGTTATTTTTCACCAGGGGGCAAATCGCTGCCTCTTTAAGAGGGGAAAGGAAGCGGTAATGAGGATGGGAGAAGTGCTTTTGCTCCTCACCCCCCTTCTGGTCTCTCACATGGCCTGGGGACCCGGGTTCCCTGTAAGCTGTGAGCCTGTGCTGCTGCTCCAGAGAGGTTCAGATGCTGCCCAGCTGATTAGCAAAGGGCTCACAGCTAGGTTTTTGTTCGTACTGGTGGTGCACATTTGCACATGCCTCAGTGCACACATAAAATTTTATTCTGCACGTGAATAGAAAAGATTAGAGGGAACATTGCTGGGGACATCCTTCTGAGAGGCTGATGCTGGCATATGCTCCCTGAGAAGACCCTTACCTTGCCATGTGTTGCTTGAGGCAATGGCAGCATCAGACTTGGGTTTTAAGTGCTTGAATTGGAGAGGGGTTTGGGAGGGGGCCTGGGCCTTTCTATGCCTTAAGAGTCTACCTCGCTTCTGTCTGGGTAGACTATGTTGTGTTAATGGTGTGTCTCTTCCATCTAGCACCCCTTGCTCTCCTCTCCCACCCCACCCAATTCAAGCAGCAGGCATGGAGCTGCAGCTTTTGACTGGAAAGCAATACTGGTACCAGTCTAAAGGCTAATTGTGTGCTCCTTTAAACCACTTCAGCCAGCAGAGAACGCTGAAGAGTTGTAGGCTTGGTTCTCCATTTTGGAAGCTGAGTGCTTATTGCCTTTTTGTGAGTGTTGCCTTTTCCAGACCTCTTGGCAATACTGTGTATGGTCACTAACTAGCAAGAGCCGTTTAATAGTTATGCCATTGAGTTGTGGATAGACACTTAATGGGGACTTCTTTCAGGAACTCTGTATATAGGCTGAGATTTTTAAATATGAGCGCAAATTCCCTTAGGTTCTTACCCCACAGGAATAGTGCTCTATTTGCTGCGCTTCTGACTTACTTTCTGTTGCTCTTTTTAGAATGCACCACAGGATGAGAAACCAGATCGAGTGTCTTGAACTGAAATGGGACAGGGTACCAATGAAGGAAAGCAAAAAAGGTGTCTGGGAACAGTTGGATTTCCTCCAACTTCTGAGGCTGCTGAGCACAGAGCCCTGAGCTTCGCCTGAGATGCATTTTAAAAACCAAAGACTCTTTTTTTAAAAGGACTTCTGGTGAAGCTTCCAAATGGTTTTTAAGTGGCACAGCTTTGCAAACTACTCTTCTATTTATGAGATGCAAAGAATATTCAGCACCCATTGGTGCAAAACAAACCCATTTTAAATTATTTGTGGTATCTATATTTGTATTTATTTTGATGAATGTCTTTAAGCAGTTATCTGTCTTAATATTGCTTTTTGCATTAATGTGTCCATTCCAAATAAATTACTTGAAATGTTCACATTTTATTACTATACACTGTGGTGCAGTATGTTTATTGGTGCCAGTTGCAGAATAATTGTTCTTAAATACCACCTGGAAATAGGGATCCACTAATCTATCCAAACATTTTGGTTTATATAAAATCCTAATGTGCTTTGAAAGTTGAGTAGCCCTGTCCTGCAGGCATATCAACTTTGGAAGCCCCAGGGGCTGCATTGATACTCACAGCACATGCCAGAGGGCCACAGCTTAAGTGTGGTCACATATATATGCAAATAACTTTCACACTGACAGGCATGAATACAAAGATAAAGGCAAGACTACATAACACACAGGCCCCATTTAAGTCAGTTCTGCTGATACTAATAAAATGCAATATTTACCTGATTTCCACCCATATGACAGCACGTGTAATGAGCAATGACAGTCCAGGAATTTAACTACTAAAACACATCAACAGAAGATCATTATATTTACTATTTTTTTGTTTTGGCTCCCACCCGTGGGCCATGTGTTGAGCCCCGCATAAACTCAAACCCACAGGCCACGTGTTGAGTAGCCCTGCTGTAGGAAATAGCAAGCTACCATTGGTCCCCAAGCAGAAAATCAGTTGTATCAAAACTAGGAATTGCCCTACTGGATCAGACCACTAGTCCCCCTACAATTCAAGTCAGGATTAGTTGTGTCTGAGGCTAGGCCTACACTATAGCCTTTTTTCGGGAAAAGTTACGCAAATTGTACTCCACAATTTGCGTATCTTTTTCCGATTGCTTTTCTGGAAGAGGCTTTCTGCCATTTAGCCCCGTGTGGAAGGGGCCACATAGCGGAAAAGCCTCCTCTTTCAGAGGAGCCCTTATCCCTTGTAGAATGCGATATACAGGGCTCCCCAAAAGAGCACATTTCCTTTTCTGCAAAAAATAGTGGAAGAGCAAATGTATTCCCTGGACACGGCAGTGTTTTTCTGGGATACTTCTGGAATCCTGGAAAAACCACACAGCCTAGACATACCCTGAGAAAGGTACAAGAACCCCTTAAGATACAGAAAAATCTGCCTCCTCATGCTTCCACCAATCCTCCTTCCCTGTAGTTAGCTGCTTACTTAGTCTGGAAGAAGAGGAATGACTGAACTGGTTCAGGATAAAATAAAGACCAACCTAAACAATCAGAGGTGTGGAAAGAGCTGTACAAGTTCCCTGTTATTTCACATCTCCATGCATCTTTGCAGTTTCTAGTCCCGGCCAGGATCAGCCAGGCTGAATGGGAGAGGCCGTTTTCAAGGGATTTTCAGCATAACCAGAGAGACACTTGCAATGCCAAGAGGTAGGAGAAATAGCTGAACTCCTTGGTACTATGCTTACAGAAACTAGGTCTTATGAGACTTATACCTGTCAGTAATACTCTACACTTCCTTGAGAATAATTCTGCAACATTCAAAGCTATCCCTTCTGTGCAGCTTGAAAGGAGAAGTGCAAGGAAACATGCATTTGGTTTCAACACAGAGTTGAATGCAAGATTTTTCCTGTGTAATGTTCCATGCTAATGGTCTGAAACAGAACTCCTTAATCAGGTAAAGCTCCCACTGCCTTCTATAGACTGTCAATGAAGGGAAAGTAGAGCACTGGTATAAACTACAGAGATTATAATGTGAGCAGCATTTAGGAGGCTTAATTAGGGGCTGATTAAAGCATAACTCTAAAAAGGAGGTAATGGAGGGTGTGGCTCAAAAGGGAAGTGCTTGCTCACCCAAGAACACCTGGGAAATGCTAGGGCTATACATTACTCCATGAAGCTTTATAAATTATGGACTATTAGCTGAAACCTACTTCATCCACTGGAAAAAAGCAACCTGTTGCTTGAAGAGAGTCTTGATTCTTAGTCCTTATGGCTGTGTCTACATTGGCGTGATCTTCTGCAAAAGCAGTCGCTTTTGTGCCAAAACTTGCTGCCTGTCTATACTGGCCGCGAGTTCTTGTGCAAGAACACTGACGTTCTAATGTATGAAATCAGTGCTTCTTGCGCAAGAACTATGATGCTCCCGCTCAGGAATAAGTCCTCTTGCGCAACTGTTCTTGCTCAAGAGGCCAGTGTAGACAGGCAACATGAATTTCTTGCGCAAGAAAGCCCTATGGTTAAAATGGCCATCGGAGATTTCTTGCTCAAGAAAGCGTCTACACTGGCATGGATGCTCTTGTGCAAAAGCACATCTCTTGCACAAAGGCACATGCCAGTGTAGGAGTTCTCTTCTGGAAGAGTTTTTGCACAAGAACTCTTCCGCAAAAGAGTTCTTGTGCAAAATCATGCAAGTGTACACGTAGCCAAAGTGTATGGCTCGTGGGAAGGAACCCCTCTGCAGTGAGGGATTTGTGCCCTACTGCTGAAGGATACAGTACTTGGTTTCCATGGTTTCCTGAACCCAAAGGTTTTTCAGTTACCTGTCCTGCAGCCTGAAAGTTTCCTTTTTGTGTTCTCTGAGGTGGGGCTAAAGCCTGGCCTAAATATGGATTTAGGTAGGTGCATTTAGAGCCCCCATGTCTGAAAAAATTGGAAGACATGCCTTTTCTTTCATTCTACAGTGTGAGAGATTATAGACCCACACCTGTAAGCAGGGGTGTCTGGAATGGAGTCACTGGAACTTCTGTAACTATTAGCACTTGATACTGTAGTATTGCTCAGAGGGATTAGGGCCTCCCTGTGGGTAGTCTGTGCTTCCACACTACTTCCTTGTTGAGTTCATTGCTTTCAATGGAATTGTGCTGATTCCCTGGAGGATCTGGTCCTACTTCTAATTGTAGAGCAGACTCTGGTGTGGAGCCCTGAAGAGCTGGCATGTCTGTAAAAGATCAGCTGTGTGAGGAATACCATTATAGACCATTGCTTTGTAAACTGTGCCAGTAGCAAAAGTTACCAAACACACGGCAGACGTGCAAAGAGCTGGCTTAAGGATACTTTTATTTCCAAGCTGGGGTGATGGAGTCAAAAGTCCTGATGGCACACTTTAGTTTTTGTGGATAAAGTAGATTTACATGACATCTGGGTTATTGAACTTTCTCCTCTTTCAGAGGTATTTTATTCTTTAAAATATATAAAAACAGAGCTATGTTGATAACCAGCTGCAAGTACCCGAAGGCTGGGACTCCAAACACCTTATACAAAACTCCACCTATTGTTGGGCCCAGTGTCCGTGTCAGGGGGGGAACGGATGCACATATCCCAAGCATGGCACCTACAGAAGAGGGGAGAGAAGAAGTGAGAACATATAAGCTACAGATTAATTCCAATTGCAATGCTTCAGCGACAGTCTGTTGAACAGATATAGCTTACATACATGTTTCTGGAGACACAGGGTCTAACTTCCATCATGCGCCATCGCAGTTCTCCACTGCAACATTTACACAACAGGAATACTGTACTAAAGGACAATCAGATTCTGCATCCTTCTTCAAGGAAGAATTCAGGGCCCAATCCTGGGGGAGAGGCTCTGATTTTGGAAGCAGTCTTCTGAGTTAGGCTTATCACTGGAAAAATGTATGTCACGAAGGGTGAGGTAATTTACACTTGAGTATTCTGGTTCTTGAAAGAGCAGACTTATCCCAGCCAATAATTAAGTGAGGTAGCTACCAGTGCAAAAACAACAATTTGGCCTTATGCTAAGGATACAGGATGTTACGGATTTGCAGTAAAGCAACTTGGCTCTGAAAGGCTGGACTCTAGTCTGTTTAAAAGCTGATGCCCTAGAAAGGCCTCCTCACAAATAAAGATGGCGCCCCCAGGTTCCTGTACCACACTGGCAGTGTAAAGCAAGCAGGAGCCACTGGCCATGAGAAAGCAGGGCCATGTGCATGTATGCATGCAGATGAATGGACAGGGAATATTATAGCATATGTGATATGATGCAGGCACGTTATTCCGCTATTCAGATAGGAAAAACTAGTATGCTACCAAAATGAAACCCCTTGGAACAGGACTCCAGGGAAGGGGAAGGGAGATATCTCAGAAGCCACCTGCTATGAACTCAGCTTAGACTCTGGTCACAAAGGGAGTGGGTGTTGGACTATTTGGAATATTGGTATGACTGATTGCTGCTTGCACAGATGAGAAAAAACTCTGGGAGTAGGCTTTTGGAACGTACATAAATATCCTGCTTTCAGGTGTGGTATTGTGCATGGAGGCCCTGCCTAGCTAAATCAACATGTGAGCATATGTGCACTACTTGACTCTACAAGTTATAAAGAGGTAGGAGATCATGTAGCTGGAACAGAACTGAGTCCATAAATCTTTATGAGAGTGTGAATTAGAGGGAACCTGACCAGTTCACAGTGTAACATAGATCGGAGCTTGCTGTACTTTGGTTCAGAATGCTAGTTTGAGAAGAGAGCCAATAGGCAGGAGTACATGTGTGTCTTTGAAAAATCCTTCTGTAAGGCCTTCTGGGCGCTGCTTCCCATCAGTGAGGTGGGTGGATCAAACCAAACCTCGCCTCAGCAGGAGCAATCACACAGCCACCAAGCTTTCTGGGCAGGTTCTACAATTTTTCCCCCTTCAGACATTTGAACTGAACTTAATTGCCATAGACAGCTGTCACACTGGCTCCCCACCGTTGAGCTGGTACTTTGGAGTGTGCGCGTGGGTTGTGTGTGTGCATTTTTACCAGATCGCCATCCTTTACACAGCCTCAGACTCCAGGTCTGCACCTCAGAAAGTCTTGTTTTGCTGAAAAATAAGTCTCTTTTCCTAAAGAACCAGATACAGAGGCTGGTACTAACCACCCCTGATCTTTGGGTTGTTTGGAATCTGAATTTTGCAGCATGGAATGGGACTATATAAAGAATCACTGAGTCCGTGCGGTGGGGCTGAGTGAGGCCCACTGTATTTGCAGGTTCTGGTCTCACAATGTTAACTGATTAATAAGTGTCTGAGGATTAGTACATTAGCAAAACCATCTGCAATGCTGTCTGGCTCAATCCAATGTAGAAGCAGCCATTTTTTTTATCCTTTTATTCTGGCTTCCCTTCACCTCCCCTTCCACCAAAGCATTTGCATCTTCCCTACTTTTTCCTCCTCTCCCTTCACCACAAGTGGCCCACGCTCGTTTTCTTTTCCTATCCCCTCCCAATAGCCATCATTCCTTGTCCCACTCAGTGACCTGCTTTGCCTGCAATTGCTGATTCAGCCATCTGCCTAGCCACAGTCTTCCCAATCTCTCTTCTTCAGTAAAAATCAGGGTTCTGGCCAGATGCCGCAAGTGTCAGGGAAGGGTGTTGGGGCCAGTGATCTCTCACTTCCTCTTTTACTTGACCTAATGCACCTTTTGTGCGGCACTGGGCTACCCTACCCGGCCTCCATTTTGCTTTATGTCCTGCTACAATGCTATGGTTATGGGAATGCCCTAGATATGGCATCACACCACAGTGCAGCCTAGCTGAACAAATCGGGATGAGTCAGGCAATGGCACATTTTGGGCCAGCAGTGTGATATCTGAGTCTAATGGAGAAAGAAGGCTGATCATTAACAGAGAGTAGATAGGCTCCCTAGCAGGAGGGGAGCCAGACAGGGCTAGGAAAGATTAACCAGGACTCCCCTGCTTACCACAAGAGCAGGACTGCCCCAGGATTGTGCAGCAGTACAAGTTGGCTGCCAAAAGTTGGCTGGACACTGGCCTTGGATTTAAGGATCAATTTGTTTAAACTCCATGGTGAGCTTTACTTCTGACTACACCTGTGGATCCATACTCCAGTGAGCCTCCTAAACTGGACCTGTGCACAGAATCAACGTCTCCCTTCTAGGAAGAAATATTGAGTCCTGCCAGGCATTTTAATGCTGACACAAGTCACAGTCGGGGCTAGCCGGTACTCCCACCAGCTCTCACGTGGCACTCCAGCATGCTGCAAGATCCCTTCCTGCCTTTGAAGAAAAAAACCCACATAAGAGAATGAATGAAACCATTTCCAGCCTGCTATTTTCCACAGAAAGTAGCAGTAACTGGTAAAGAAATGAGTGGCATACACAGCAGCCTCCAAATGGGCTTTGGGGAAGTATGATTTGATGGAGCAATCAGAGTGAGCTGGGAAGGGCAGGGATGTTTGATGTTCGGTGACAGTGGAAAAGAAAATTTTCACTGAGTAACTGGTTTCCACTAACCTCTCTCCAACCTTCCAGCTGTTTGATAAGAGGCGAACTCAGCACTGGAGCTATTCCTTTTGTCATAAAAGCCTCCGCAGTGCTGATTAAGATCAATGGAAAGACTACAACTGACTTCAGATGACATTGGATAGGGACATTGAAAAGTTCTTGAGAAGATTCCTTCAGTGAGGCTCAAGACGGACGCAGTTCCAAAGGGAATTCCTCAAGGAGAACTGGTGAATTGAACAGTCTTGAACTGAAAGTCTTCAGAGCTAACTCAATTTCCTCTTCTTTTGATGTGAAAAGCTGTAATGTCACAATATCACATCAAGCTGATGAGCTATCAAAATGGCACAGATGTATTTGAAAATGCACCCAGAAATGACTCATTTCTAGTGTAAATTTTACACTTGTACAGTTGGGACATTAGGGCTGCGTCTAGACTGGCAAGTTTTTCCGCAAAAGCAGGTGCTTTTTCGGAAAAACTTGCCAGCTGTCTACACTGGCCACTTGAATTTCTGCAAGAACACTGACTTCCTACTGTCTGAAATCAGTGCTTCTTGCAGAAATGCTATGCTGCTCCCGTTCAGGCAAAAGCCCTCTTGCGCAAATGCTTTTGCGCAAGAGGGCCAGTGTAGACAACGTGGTATTGTTTTGCGCAAAAAAGCTCTGATCGCGAAAATGGCAATCGGGGCTTTCTTGCGCAAAACCGCGTCTAGATTGGCACGGACGCTTTTCTGCAAAAAGTGCCTTTGCGGAAAAGCGTCCATGCCAATCTAGACGCTCTTTTCTGCAAATGCTTTTAATGGAAAACTTTTCTGTCAAAAGCATTTGTGGAAAATCATGCCAGTCTAGACGTAGCCTAATTGTATCTGGAATAGGGGGTGAAGGGAGGGGGACTAGCTACTGTATGATGCCACCCATTTTAGTAGCATTTCTCTGGGAGACACCCACATGACATTAGCTAGGTGCTCCAAAGAAGGAGCTTACACACTGAAACTGCTTTTCTAGGTCTGACACTCCGGATTTCAGTGTTGCCTCTGCCTTGAAGTAAAGTTCTAAAAACAATACCCTGCTTGAGAAAGTGAATGACTCACAGCACTTGGCTTTAGCATTAGGATGTACAAGTTTTATCCCAACCTCCTGTGCTGTCACTGAAGAACTAACATTTTAACCTGCAGCAGCACCCCTCTGCTAATCTAGTTTTGAGCCCAAACATGACTCCGCCAATGCACTTCAAAGCTGACCTGCTACCAGTTTACTTTTTTTGTTAAAAAAAAAGGTGCCGGTACTCCAGGGGAAAAGTTGTTGAGCTCTGACTGAAGGTGCCAGTACTGCGTACCGGGCAGTACCGTCACAAAAAAAGAACTGTCTGCTACAATCCCCTTCCATTGTAGCCCTGGGTCCAAGTGCAGCTTTCCAATTGTACACAATCTTTTCTTGCAATACTCTCTAACACGCTAATTCTAGGCTCCAAACAACCTTTGCAGTGCCAACCTGCAGTACCACCCTCTCCACTGTCCTTTAGAAGAGACTGCCAATCTTACTGAATTGGGGAGGGGGAACCTAATAATGTATGCAAACAAGGACTACAAATAGGCCACTAAACTTGTGCTTACTTGTGACCAAAGTTAGCCTCTGGACTTTGAAAGAGGAGCATGCTCCATTTTTCCTCACAAAAAGACTTTTGAGAGCAGTCTGGCCGATTTCCAGATTTGCTCTATGTTTAAATGCCATCTACTGCCCCTCCTCCACTGCCCTCCCCCAAACATTTCTTGAAGACTTGAAACTCCTAATTTTCAGTTGCACAGAGCTGGACAGTGCTGTCCTCAGCTTCATGTGAAACAAATCACATTCTCCCCAAGATTCAATGGCTCTGAGGGCTCACAATGTATGCAGTGTAGATTTCAGCCTTGAATAATCGAGCTAAACATGGAACAGTCTCATCCAGAAAAATCCCAAAGTGCTTCACAACCTTTGACAAACTGTACAAAGTCTGAGTTAAATTTCCACTGGGCTCTGCCCATAAAGCGGCAGCCTGAGTAGGGGATGCAAGATAGAATTTGTCTGGTCCAGTTCTGGATCTCCCAAAAGGAGACAACTCCACAGAGATTTGTGAGGTGGAGCCATAGGAGCAGGGTTAAAAGAGCCGCACTGCAGATACAGATTAACTCAGATTACTATGCCCCATCCCATATAAACAGACCCCTATTTCTAGCAAATATTATTTTGAGCGAGATGGTGGGAGCTATGGACAGCTCACAGTAACATTGCTTGCAGCCCCTGACTGTTGTGCGCAACACTTTTTCTGGCCACTCCAGAATAATAAATACACGTGCACCATTGTACCCCAGCCCTGTGGCAAAATGCAATAGCTGGTTTAATCGTGCATGGAAACATCACTAAACAATTTAAGCACGATTATTGCAACCAACTGCAGCCATAGCTGTAGCTTCTCCCCTGAGGGATGTATGGATTATGGCGGCCGGCTCTGTGTGTGACCACCAGCACTTCTGCTGTGTCTTTTGCTGTTAGGCAGGAGTCTTAGTTTTGTCCATGGCAGACTGGAAAAATCCAGGGCGGTGCTTTCAGTTCCCCGTTACCATTTTGGAAAGGAATCCTAGATGACTCGTGGTAGCACTTGGGAGGTGCTCTGCCCCCTGTGCCCCACCAACATTTTAATTGCTAAATGAGGTGCCTCCTTCTTATGTCTCCTCTCTGTTCCTCTGGGTGCCCCCACCCTGCACCTCCTCCCCTACAGGCACCAGTTGTCTGTGGAAAGGAAGATTCAGAGTATTTTGTTGATGCTGATATAATACATATATGGCTAATGGAACAGTATCCTAGGAGCCCTCTTTCACTGAAGGAAGGCATGGACATTCACATGATGAAGTCAGTCAAACTTCTTCAGGACTCTGCCCCTTCCTCTCCAATAGGGCGGGGAGTGGCCAGACACTCCCTTTGTTACAATACACAGAAAACATGACTCCTTTCATGATTCATGCCTATGGTGTCCTTCCACCTGAACAGAATCTCTCTTTTACAAGAGGATGCGGCCGTGTTTTAATCCTGAGCCTTTCTATCACGGTGTTCCATAGCCTCTTTTGCACGAAAGGAAGCACCTGTGTGACAGGAAAGCTATGTGGCCCTTTCCCTGGTGGATCTCACCATGCAAATCCCCAGCCGCACGTGGAAGCGCAGGCAGCAAGAGCCTAAATGACTACTAAGAGCATAAAGTCATAAAGGGAGTGCTTGGCCAATAGTGAACAGGCTGGTCCATTGTTAATTCTGTGCCTACTCATCCTGGTTTCCAACATAAATTACATGCAGTTGTTGGAACAAGATTGCTCAGGGAATGGCAAGTTTATCATAAACGTGCCTTAGTGTAAAACAAAAACTGCACAACCACACTGCAGCCACGTGGCAGGGGCGCTATGAAGTGTGACATTCTTCCTCGGCTCAGTAGCCGGCCTATATTGTAGCTCTTCTTTTTCTGTGAGCCCTTTCGAGAGCCACATCTATTAATCTGAATCATATGATCCTAAATCACAGGTCCCCAAACCACCGTGGGGTGTGCCCACATGGGGTGTGCAGAGGATAATTCATGGGGGGGGCTCTACTTCTGACCCCATCCTTAGCTGTGGCTCCAGCCTTGACCCAGTTATTCCTGTCTGCATCCTCGCCTCCTGGAACCATGACCCCATTCTGAGAAAGGGGGTGTGCAGACATGGCTAAGGGTGGAAATGAGGTAAAAAGTTTGAGGGCCCAGTGATCTAAGTGCAAAAGGCTGACACAAGGCCTTGTGGTTCACTTCCTAAGCCAGGGCTGGGGAACCTTTTTTGGGTCCACTGACCCACAGAAAAATCAGTCGGGGTTCTCACAGAAGTGAGAAGACACTCCCCACATTCCCCTCACGTGCCTGAGGGGCCCAAGTTAGTAGATTTTGTCAGCTCCAGCCCTGTGGGGGTGTGGCAGGGAGACTGGAGCATCAGCGCGGGGTCCCCAGTGCTGTGGGGGAGCCCTGAGCCATGGGGGCTGGATCCAGGCAAGCCAGGGGCTGCATTCAGCTCCCAGGCCTTAGGTTCCCAACCACTGTCCTAACCCTTAAGCATAAGTAAAGTTTTGCATAGATCCTCTGCAGCAAGGAGGATTTCAGTCTAAGTATGGGCTGCAGGATTCTGCCTCTTGTTATGCTGCTGGCCCAGTCAACTGATGCTGGTCGCTGGCTCACAGCAGGCCTCCTCATAGCGCTCGTCCTGCTTGTTCTGACCAGCGTTCGCTGGCTGGCAGAGAGGCAGGACTAATATAGGTTACGCTTTGTTCTAAGCCACATTATGCCCGCTGGGATGTGCTGGGAACTGGGCATTCTTCCCACAAGTCGTGGTTGGCAGCCCAGCACCAACCCAGCAGTATTCATGTGCCTGCCAGCCCACAGCTTGAAACCTCAGGCTTTAAAAGCCACAAGCCCAGAGTCTGAGCTGGAAGAGAAACGGAGTCTTTTAGCCAGTCTTACCGGTGTCCGAAGGAGGGACCGCCTTGGTGAGAATGCTGTCCGTAATGATGCCCATAGTGCAGAGTGCAAATACCATGGGGAGAGCAATGATACAGTAATGGATCACATGGGTCATCAGCGCCTAAGTGACAGAACAAAACATGGCACCTCTATTAAACGCCTCAGCAACAGGAGGGATAATGGCAAGTAATGATGAGGTAAACTCCTACCTGGGTTTTCATAAATAGATACCCTGATGGCTGGGTGACAAAGTTCTGAGGCAGCAAAACAGATTTGCAGAGTCTCCAGCCCATCCAGGTCTTTTGTGCTTGCAAACAGTCAGTATATGTAAGCAATGATCACCTACACCGGGGCTGCTCAACACACGGCCCATGGGTGGGAATCCTTTGAACATGGCTCCATTCGGAACATGCTCCACAATAGTGAGCATTGAAAGACGCAAGTGGGCGGGCTGGCTGGAACAGATGGGTACAGGGTGTCGGCGTTTCTAGCCCCCAGACAGGAGGTGCCAGGAGCACCGGGGCATTGTGGGAAGTGCTTTGTATTCCTGTCCATCAGTGTGAAAGAAGCTATTTGCATAAATTTGCATATATATCTGCACATGTATGCAACCGCACTTAAGTTGCGGCCCTCAGCATGTGCTGTGAGTATCATCGTGGCCCCCAGGGCTTCCAAAATTGAGTAGCTCTGCTCTATACAATAAGGTAGCACCTCATCAAGCCTTGCTTTGCTAATTCACAAAGCGTGATAATTCCCACCCCCATCCCTCTTTTCCCCAGGCAGTCTGCTCTACTTCGCTGGAAAAATTTAATAGCCAAGGCCTGTAGTGCAGTCTCATTAAGACTTCATCCCTTACACCAAACAGGCTACAGCACGCAGAAGAACGCATTATCATAAATAATTAAAACAAAACTTTGCTTGTCAAAATAAATGAACACAGAACCTAATGTAACGCTGTACCCTTGGGGATCACTAATCCTGTTTGTCAGCATACGTCCTAATGAATTCACTGAATTCAGTAATCTGGAACGGGTCTCCCAGTCATAAGGACACATTAATGGGCATAATTAGTGAGTGTAACAATTTTCTTTTTGCACATGTTCTGGGCAGAGACGTCATTTTGGCCGTTTGTTACTTAAACAAAAGTACAGAATAAAATTCTGATGCAGTGGGGCTTAACCAGCTCTGAATTCATTTACAATGCCTCTTGGTCAAACAAATGGATTCCTTTGGAGCACGGAAAGGAAATTATTACCCCTCCTCCCTCAGTCTGTATTTGAAGTCTCTTCTGCTATGTTTACTTTCAAGGTGTGGTTTCTTTTATTATCCTCTGGAGATCATTTACATCCTTTGTTAAGCTGGAAGTTTTACTCATTGGCTCACTCTGCTTGGGGTTTTCTTTCATAAAATCCAGTCAGTGTCTCTTGGTTACAGAGGAAAAACAAGCCCTGAAACATACCTAACTCATGATCTGCTAATGCTGAGGTTGAAAGCATTTTCCTGACTGGGTTAAAAAGTATGTATATATTGAATTCCTGCCTGGAGGCAAATACAGATAGGTGCCTTGACTTCCATGGGACCTTTGCTAAATTTTGGGTAAGGACTACAGGATACAGCCTCTGGGCGTGGCACATTCAAACCCCTGGATGGATGGTAAGAGCTCCTTTGCTAAAGCAAATGCTTCCAGAGCAC